GATACTGCCTTAGCTGCCATTTCCCAGCTTCCAAAAGTGCAGGAGCTGGACCAAATACTGACTCTTGAAGATGTAGAGAAGGCTACCAAAGAGATTGCAACTGGAAAAGCAAGCAGCAGGCAATGACCAGTTACCTCCCGAGCTCCTAAAGGCAAGGGGGAGAAAGTTTGCAAGTGACATCTATGCACTTCTCTGCACCTGTTGGGAAGAAAGCCATATACCCCAGGAACTGAAAGATGCAAAGATAATTACGCTATATAGAAATAAAGGGGACAGAGGAGACTGCAACAATTATCAAGAGATATCTTTGTTCAGTATGGTCGACAAGGTGCTTGCAAGGGTCATATTGAAAAGACCCCAAGTCCTTGCTGAGTCTACCCTGAGAGCCAGTGTGGGTTCAGAGATGAATGCTCCATGACTGACATGTCCTTCATATTGCGCTTGTTTGCAAGAAAAAAGCCATAAACAGGCACCTCTCTATGTAGCCTTCATTGACCTACAAATGTCCTTTGACATGGTTAGCAGGAATGGCATCTATAAGATCCTGTTGAAAATTAGCTGTCCACAAAAGGTGCTTTCCCTATTCAAGAGTTCCACAAGGGAATGAAGGCAGCCATCCAATATGAAAATGAAACATCATCTAAGTTTAGTATTGATGCTGGTATGAAGCAAGGCTGTGTCTTAGCGCCCACTAGCTTTGGTATCTTCTCTGTGCTTCTTAAGTATGCCTTTGGAAATGATCAATCTGGCATCTAATTGAATTGAGGATGGCCAACAGCTTGTTTAACATCAGATAAATAACATCAGATGATTCCAGCACAGAAGGCACGTCACCCAGCTTACTATTCAGGATCTCCTTTTTGCAGATGATGCTGCATTCATCTCTAAATTATCTGATGAACTGCAGGTCATGATGAACAAGTATTTTGATGCATGCGCCAAGTTTGGCATGGTGATCAGTATCAAGAAAATTGTCACATATGTCAATAATGAAGCTCTGAAACACATGGATCACTTCTGCTATCTTGGCTCAATTATTACCAGCTCACATAACCTTGATAGGGAACTTGATGTAGATGTAGAATCTGCAAAGCTTATGTTACCTTTGGCAAACTTACCTCATGTTTTTGAAACAACAAATTGCTAACTCTGAACACAAAGGTGTCTGGTTTATCGGGCTTGTGTCCTCAGTACCGTCCTTTACAGGTGTGAAAACTGAGTCACCTACTCCAAGCAAGCATGGAGATTGAACAGTTTGCACCTCTACTGTCTTAGAAAAATCCTTGGCGTTACTTGGAAACAACAGATCACCAATAACGAGATCCTTCAGAGAGCCGGGCCTGCAGTCTATGCAGACTATGCTGGACATTCACAGGCTTCACTGATTGAGACATGTGGAGCGCATGCCTAAGGATTGTCTGATGATAGCTTTGCCCGGTGGCCATCTTAAGAACCACCCACGATGCAGAGGAAGGCCAAAGCTCCCATAGAGTGACAAGATGAAGCAAGACCTCAAGAAATTCAGCATCCCACTGACAATTGGCAGAAACCTGCCCAAAATCATTCAGTTTGGAGAAGCCAGGTTAAGAATGGTTCCATCACCTTGAAGAGCCATCAGAGAGACCAGGCTGAGGCCTGCAGGCAATGCAGGAAACAGAGTGTGCTTCAACTTCCATCTGGTGAGTGGATCTATAGCCACTGTGAAAAAGTTTGTCATTTGGTAAGTGCCACTGACGGACCGACTTTGTCTTGTCTGCTTTCATCTGTCAAGATGTTGAACGGCCACATATTACTGTGAATAGAGGTGGAATGGTTAAATAACATTAATGAAAAGAACTAAATGTACACCAATTCAGAGCCCTCACCCATGCTCTAATTATGTTAGATGAGCATTTTTATTAATATAATAATATAATAAAATAATTTCTTTTAAAACATGTACCTATTTGAATGGAGCACACAGAAGTCTTGGCACCCATGAAAATCTCTGACCAGAAGACCAACCAAAAAAAAAATCATCTCTTAACAAATGAAATCTCCTGTATTTTACACTATTTGAATTACAATGTTTTGTATTTACCAGGATTTTAAACAGTAAGTCTAATTTAAGCTCTGCAAAGACTTATGCACATGCCTAATTCTAAGTAAGTGGGTAGTGCCATTAAAGACAGTGTTATTAGACACATGCACAAGTTTTTGTAGTTGTTTAATTAAGCTGGAACAATAAGAATTTCCAAGATTTAAAAAATGGAAAAATCCAAATTTTGCACAGAAATATGTATTAAATTTACTATTTGGCGAATTTCCACACTTTCTCACCCACCATTATGGACAATACAATGTGTTCTATGCCATCTCTGCATTGGAATAGTAGAGAGCTGCACAGCCTCAGTAGGAACTCCCAGAAACAGATACCTTCCAGTGCTCTAGGAAGCACAGGACGAGTAAGCCTGCTGTTATACCCTTTAAAAAGGATGAGTTTCTTTCAATGCCAAGCTAGCTCTGCTTGCTGTTGCAGAGAAGGGAGGGGGCATGTTTTGGTCTCTTCCTGATCTTTTCTGAGAGATTAGTTGCTGCTGTGAGCTCTGGGTTTGTGTAGACCTTGATCTGAGCACAAGTGTGGGGTGTCTGGCTCTTGTTCAGGACTGCAAGAGATGAGGATCCAATTGTCCCTCATCCCTCTCTCTCCTCCCCCTCCACCAAAATCCACCGCCTGTGAATCTGTGCAGTGCTGAGCACATTTTTACATAAATTCAAAAATATTGAGATCCGTTTCTTTTATCTCCTCTAACAGTCTTCTTCTGGGGTGCTTTTCTCATATACTTCTGTAAAATGATAACTCTCAGTTTGTCCTGCTCTACGAACACTGGGAACAGTTATGTGACAGAATTGAAAAGACCAGGTGTATAGAGGGTTGACAAAAATCAACATGAGATGAGGGTGAGTTTGAATATGTTTGTGTCTGGCAATAACAGACAGAGTTTACAACCTAAGCTGCTGCTGTTCCCACAAGCCCATGTTCCAACAAATACCTATGCTCCCCCAAGTTGCCATCTTCCTACCCCTTACCTTAAAGGAAGTTAGCAAGAGAAAATCAAAGCTCTTTCCAAGCAGTGTCAGCAGTCACTATAGAGATTGCCAGAGAACCTAGCCACTGGGGTAATGTAGTGTGGTTCAGCTGGAACTAAACCAAATAGAAGATGAGTTGCAATGTGAGAATAGACTTCTGGTGACTTTCTCTGACTTTGGGTGATGCCTCAGAAAATTCCTCCTATGTTTTTCTTTGCCATTTGAACTTACCCTCTGAAATAAAAAAACATTGGGGTTCTATCTCCTCCACCTGACTGAGCAGAGGGAAATCTTCCATCCATCTACTGGAGGGCTAAATACTCTCTAGCACCATCTTTTTTTCTGCTTCTTTCACCCCACAAAAGCTCCTTACTAGGTGACTACAGATTTGTTCATAATAGACTGGGAAACCGTCCTACCGATGGTCCTACAGGCCAAAATCAAGAACGGACCTTTGTTTGAAGAGGTTCATGGGATCAGTGTGGCCCTATTTTTTTCTAGCTATATAGAAGAGTTTAACTTTTTGATTAGAAAAATAATTATCATAATTTTATTTTATCCACCTGTATGTATTGTCCATGTTACTTTCTTTTTTTGAAATTACATTTCTGGTTTTTGTTTTAGTATTGTAAATGTCAGAATGTCCATAATTCCTGAGCATGTTTTACACACATTGTGTACAAATCAGAACTAAGCAACCTTCAACTTAGTTTTATATTGTAGAAGAGAGAGCCCAACTGAAAGTGTCACTATGGGGAATACATTAAATTGTATTGTCTATGACATACTGGCTTTATTTTGAGTAGGTTATTGTGTTAATAATAGAAATGTATGAATTGTTAAACACTATAAATAGATTCCTATTGCTGTCCTTGCTATCTTATTGACCATTAACATATACAGAACAGGTAGAATCAATATAGTCTGAGCACCCACATGTATTCTTTATGCATGAAGCATAACAGAAGAAAATACTATATCTTTACAGAACTTTAAATAAATCTACTGAGTTGGTGTCAGTAATTTACTATATCTTCAGAACTTTGACATAACATAGGGATTTCATCATACCTGTGACTGGGTGTTGCAGGATGTAAGACAAATACCGGAAAATCTGGACAGGCACCATTTTTACAATATCAGTGACACTCTTAATGTAGTCTTCCTTGCCTGGAACTATGATTTAGGGAGCCATACTAATATGGCTGCACAAAACAGGAAGAGGCTTATTTCCCTTTACTCTCCTGTGTAGCTATATCAGGGATTGGCAACCTTTGGCATGCGGCCCGCCAGGGTAAGCACCCTGCCGGCCTGGCCGGTTTGTTTACCTGCTTTGTCTGCAGGTTCGGCCGCTTGTGGCTCCCATTGGCCGCAGTTTGCCATCCCAGGTCAATGGGGGCTGCGGGAAGTGGAATGGGCCGAGGGATGTGCTGGCTGCCACTTCCCACAGCCCCCATTGGCCTGGAGCAGGGAACTGCAGCCAGTGGGAGCCATGATCAGCCGAACCTGTGGACGCGGCAGGTAAACAAACTGGTCCGTGCCAAAGGTTGCTGATCCCTGAGCTATATTATAGTGATTCACAACCTGGCCCATAGTTAGTGTCTTCACATCACGAGTGTTGTACGTGAAGGTGGATTGTGTACATATTACTGAATGTATGTAATTAAACAAATGCATTATTAATAGAGATGAGCCTAAAACAACCACCAGCTGAAATTAGAGGACAGAACATTGCAGCTTGTTTCCATCTTTAATTCAAACTGTAAAGTGCAAAGGTAATATATATTGTACAGAGATTTATCTAGCATTTATAACCACAATGAACAAGAAGTGATGAATGACTAACAAAAGCTCCTTTAAATATTCAATTTTAACTGGAATTTATATTATAAAATATATTTATGTTAATTCTCATCATTCTCTTATTACAGTGCAAATTAGAATATCAAGCATGTGTCTCAGGAAAACAGATTTCTGTGAAGTGTGAAGGACGTTGCCCTTGCCCTTCAGATAATCCCACAAGTATAGGCAAAAATGGTCAGAGGGGTAAGTAAAGGCAATTTCAGTTTTATTTTTTAATTGAGCATTTTTAGAGAGGAATATGATTTAATTAATGGAAGAGCATAATGGAATAATCACTAAAGGGTGATTATTCTAAAGAAAAATGAGATTTTTTTTCTTACAGTGGGTTTTGAAATAGAGTAGAAGACAATATTTTTCAATGCTAACTATAGTGTAAAACCATTGTTGATATTTGTATTATTGTTCAACACAACATGCTTAGCACTGTATAAAACACACAGAAAAACACAGTCCTTGCTCTAAACTGCTTTCACGCTAGAGGTCAAGAAGACAAAGATGCACTAAGGAATCCAGGGTGGGAAGTAACTTAATTTAAAAAAAATATTCTTAAGTAATAAGTAGCAGTAATTGTATTGTTGTTATGTACCGACAACTAGAGGGCATCATGGAAAAAGTGAACTTGTATGTGAGAACTGAATGAAAAGACATTGATGGCTTTCTGAACCAGGTGCACAGTATTTTTGTGAAATTTGGGTCAGCAGAGAATTTGGTTGCTTTGTGCTGCTTCTCAACCCCTCGCGCAGTGGGTAAAAAAGATTTGTGGCCAACCGCTACTAGATTCTACTGATTCCTGGGTGCTGGAACAGCCCATCATGGCTGCATGAAGCTGGTGTAAATTATAGAACAGCAGGAGTTTGCTCTAGTGGCTGCTAGATGGATGACCTCAGAGTTGGGAGGCACACACAGGTTGTTTAAATCCACCTTTGTGCACACACCTCCTAAGTGTGCCAAATGCAGCACAGATAGAGCCTGGGACTTTTTCTTTGCTCTACATTTAAAGAATCTCTTGGTGTATAAATGCCATTTTTCCTCAGTGGACTATATGAATACTGGTGTTTTGAAGATATTTTTCTCTGGCAACATTATAAAGAAAAAACAAATAGCATTTATGGTCTTGGTGTATATTATTATATCAGTACTTTCTGAAGCTAATTTATTAACTTTCATGGGCTATTTTAAATTATTGTGTAGAGAATTCTTATCACCTCCATTGTAAAAGTTAGCTGCCGATTAAGTAAATTTTTCTTACGGTTTAAAAAAAAAAGATTGGATTAGTTCATTTTAAGTAATGAGTTTAAGTAACCACAATGAACACAGATGCGTGTGCATGCACACACAACCAATTACAAAACTGTGCTAACACATCACTTATGCCTCTGCTTTTTTCTGCAATAACATCACTAAGTGTTATATAAATACTGTCTGTAGTGTAAACTGCTGCACTACAATAAGGCATCAGGGTTTTTTAATTGCATTAATTTTTAGTTGCACTTTGGTACCTTTTATCAGGGCTTTAAAAAATTCTGCAACATCTAGTCATTCTAGTTGCTCAGGTGAAAAATACTGAAGCAGGGGTAAACCTCAATTAACTTAATTGGTGCAAGTCCCTGCATGGTTCAGTGATACCAATCACTAGTAACCAATTGCTGATTCAGGGCTATTTCTGAGTATAGACCAGAGACTCCCCCATGGGTGGAAGAGAGATGACCCTGCCTGGCTACCTGCTTTCCCGCTTGTCCACCAGTAGGCATAAAGTGGAGAATTAGCTGAGAGGCTTCACTCTGGGAGGCCATTTTCACCTCTGCATGTGGTACCTCTGCCTCTGACCCCCATCTTCCCTACAATCAGGGGTGCTGGAACAATTTGTACAGTGGGGATGCTGAGAGCTATTGAACCAAACTGTAAACCCTGTATATGATGGAAACTACTTCAGCTAGGAGATGCAGCAGCACCCCTATCACTTCTATTTCCAGCACCTATCCCTAAAATAAAGTAACAGTAGCATTTAGCCCTCTGCTCCCTGCCTCCCTTCCAGCCCATTCATCTGTTCTAAATTCCTACTTGTCCTGGATGAGTGAATTTTTCAATCACAGCCTACTATTAATACTAAAATTATCTAAATACTGAAAATAAATTACTGGTACAAGTTAGCGGCTTCAACAAGATGGAACTGTTTTTTAATTAGTACTCTTAGAAATGAACTGTTCCTAAAGACTTACCCGGTCAGGGGATAAAGATAATTTATGTTCAGTTGAATAGAGGGAAAAGGCAGTGAGAATTTAAACTAATTCTGTCCTGCCAGATTGTGAGGACAAACAGAGTACAAGGTTTTCTTACAGCTGCAGATCAGTAGTACATAAAAATGTGAATGTCATTTCTTTTCAGTGCCAAAGGCCAGGAGACATGAAAAATGTGAAAGTAGGTTGAGTATCATTGCTAGTATTTCAGCTGTCATTTACATTAGAATGCTCCAGCAGTAGTACACTGTGTGTGTTAATCAACTCCCCTCAATGTTTTCTAACAAAGCTCATCTGTGCTTTGATCAACAAAGAGTAATCTAGGGATCATGTTGAAATGGTTGGGAGTGTTTTGTCATGCATCTGCAATATTAAAAAGAATAGAATACGAATCTTCAGGAATATAAATATGAGAAATATGATTACATGCATCTGATGAAGTGGGTATTCACCCACGAAAGCTTATGCTCCAATACGTCTGTTAGCCTATAAGGTTCCACAGGACTCTGTCGCTTTTTACAGATCCAGACTAACATGGCTACCTCTGATAATTACATTGTAGATAGCTCGATTACAAAATATTTTGTTTAATTAAGAAATGAATCCAAGCAACTTTTTTGGCATGAATAAAAAATAAGTTTAATAACAGTATCTGAAAGTTAATGTTACATAATTCACCAAACTGCATGTGCTTGCACGCTAATTTAGTGATGTAGTATGCAGTTTGTGGCAACTAGCTACTTTGACTTAATTTAATTCATGTTCCTGTTCAGCCAAATTGAGTTTAAAATATAAACAGCAGAATTTTCTTCAGGGGGAATTAAGCAAGTTAATAGTGGAATTGTAGAGACGATGATGAAAATGCTATTGTATTAAAGCCCTTCTGTGTCTCTTTAATAGATTCTCGTGTAACTGTGTATAAGAATTTAATTCTGATAAAAATGTGTTCTGTAGAACTAGAATAATTTGACTTGTATATTTGTAAAAATCCTTCCTCCCTTTTAACTCATTTTACTTTTTTTTCCCCCTGCTGCTGCCCTAGTTTTTCCCCATGAGTCTTAAATGGCAGTATATGCCTGTTTGAATCCCTTCTCTTTTCTGTGTCCAGTACAGTTTCATTTGTACTCTCCAGTCTGTGAATAGTACCAAGTTAACTCACATTGACAGTCTGTTGTTGGGTGCATATTTCTCATCACTGAGCATGTAGTCTGTTGCAACTTAATTATGTGGCCCAAACTTCTTCGGACTGGTCTACATTACAAAGTTAGGTCGACATAAGGGAGCTTATGTTGACCTAATTATGTGTCCGTGTCTACACTACAGCCTCACCGATGTAAGTGCCCTATTACACCGACCTCATAATTCCACCTCCATGAGAGGCGTAAGGTGTATGTCAGTGTAGTTAGGGCAACGCAGTATCTGTGTAGATGCTGCATCCCTTACATTGGCTGTCGACTGTCTTGTAAATATCACAGCAGGCGCCACCTGCTCCCTGCTCCCCTGAAGAGCTGGGCGGCTGGACCCTACTCCCAGCTGGAAGCCAGGGAGAAAATGGACCCCATACCCAGGCGGAAGCCAGGTCAAGAAGCCCTGGCAACCCCAACCTCCCCCCTGGGAGCTGGGCAGCCTTGTCAATTTCTCAGCTTGGTGAGCTGAGAAATTGACAAGGCAGGTTTCTTGGCTCCTGGCAGGGAACAGGTTGGGGAAAAGCCCTAAGTGGCTTTTCCTGTTCCCAGCAGGGAACGGGGAGTGGGAGTTGGGTGGCAGCCCACTGAGAACCCAGTAGCCTGTGGGACAGCCAGGTGCCCGGGGACCAGGCTCTCAGCTCCCCACAGTGCCCTTCTTAGGTTGGTGGAAGTGCTTCTAGTGAGGATACGCACCACTGACCCAAAGAGGGTAGTGTGGACATGCACTACCACAGTAAGTCGACCTAATATAGGTTGACTTACATTTCTAGTGTTAGACATACCCTTCTATACTTACAATTTGACTATTTCCTTTCATTGCACTGTGTTCACTGTGCGTCCAAACCTGCACCTATTATGGTCAATGACAAAACTTTCATTTACTTCAGAGATAAAGGATCAAGCTCCTTGGTTTCTTAATTCCTCCAGATTTTGGAATGTTAAAATAGATTTTGCCTCTTTACAAAACTTATTTAGTTTTTTGTTTTGTTTTATTTTTAAACATATGTAGGCATTTATAAGATCCTTGTCTAGCCTCAACACTAGGCCAGTCTATACTACTTTGATTGGACAATTCCTAGCCTCTCCACTCTCTTGTAATACTGTGACTCATCTTGTGTTGGGGAACCAGGTTGGAGGGATTGTCATACTTAGTGCTGTGAGTCCAAATGTCAGAGCTAAGGGTCGCGACAGAGTCAGTGCCAGGAATCTTAGCCAACGGTCAGAACCGGATTATCAGGAGTCAAGGAAGGCAGGAGCAGGGCTGGTTCTGAGGCAGGCGCAAGGCTGGGTGCAGGATGGGGTCTGGACTGGAGCAATGAAGGTGCAAAGCCAGAGCAAGGCTTGGAGAGAGATGAGGACTGAGAGGCAGAGAATCAGTGGGCCTGTTCATTGAGCAGCCAATGAGCTGCTGGGATTAGAAATCAGCCTGCTAGCTTCCACAGCCAATCAGGCAGGGCAGTTTGTCAGATAGCCTAGCTGGCTTGTTAGACTGTCAGGAGTACAGAACAGATGAAGCTGTGGGGCATTACTCCTGACTTTTTGTCAGATCTTCATTGTTGGGCGGGGGGTTATTTTTGTTTTGTTTTGTTTTTGATGGTTTGAGAGTCAGGGTGTCAGATCTCTTCTCCCCTTTCAAGCTCCCTACATTCCAAAGTCCTTTTTTGTTGAATCCCTTAGTAGCCCTGGTAGAGACTGCCCCTCCAATAGCCAGGATACAACAGATTGTAGTGTTCCATTCTGAGAGGGCTCACCCCTACAT